TATATATATATATATGTTCCTTAGCTTTAAAATAAGAAGAGTTATTTTTTTGACGAACTAAAATAAGAAGAGTTAATAAAGTGAAAATTTTGCATGCCATTAATTTAAATTGGTTTAAGTTTATAAAATACTTTAATTTAAATTAGCTGTGGATAAATTTTCTTTTTCACTTTATGTTTTTTCCCACTTGATAAAAGACAATTTTATTTATCTAAATAAACGAGTTTGTTTAAGATAAAAGACTTTTTAATAGTTTGAAACATGATCTTTATAAGAAAAAAATTAATCTACCCTATTTAATAAAAAGAATTAAAATTGCCTACAAGGAAGGTGAAGAGATAATTTGAAGAGAAGATAGATATTTTTTTTAATTATATATAAAGACATGTTATTAACTTATACTCACTTATTTTTTTTTTTAGAGTAAGTTTGCAAGTTATAACTATATTTTTTTTTTAAATTTCACTCAAGTGTATCTTACTAACTCCTAAAAGCAAGTGGGTGCAAGTTAGAAAATATTTATGAGGTTTGTTAAGATATACCTACTTCATTTCTAGGAGGAGTATATTAGCAAATTATAATCATATAATATTTTTAAAATGCACCAAAGTGTAACTTGCTAATTTATTCTTTCTAAAAAGTAAAAGGGTGTAAGTTAACAAATCCTTATATATACTAAATTTAATAGCATGTTATGTGTATGAGTTAGATTGTGTTGGGTTTAATTTGATACAAACACTCTAAATCTATCTTAAAGTAATTGGTTTGGTTTAGATTAATTTGGGTTCATGAATTATCTAAACCTATGAGCATCGCTAGTTTTTTTTTCTAAGCAAAATTGAATTAAATAAGAGGAATACAAGGGGTACTCCAACCCATATACACAACAGAACCAGAGTAAGTAGTGTACCTTTGACAACAGGAGGTGTTTAACGAAAACAACCCCATAATTACATACCTCCTAAAATCACTTTGCAAACATCATACAATAAAAGACCATTCACTAATAGGTGGAACAACTAAACTATCAATCCAAAAAAAGATTATCAACTGCAAAGTGAAGCCAGTCAGCATTGTCAAAAGCATTGCCGCAACTAAGTCGGAATCACACACCCAGATAGCAATAATCACCAACAAAATCACTTAATAAAAATTAAGGCATACAGCAGGGGACTCAGCCCAAGAAGAAAATGAGTATGAAAAAGAATTATCTCTCACTTTTAGCCATTTCCAAGTGCGCATTTTAACCAATTCAGTAAGAAAATTTTTAACTATTTTTTTTTTTAAATTAAGTAATTGGGATACATTAAGAAGTAGCCCACAACATGCTTTGTATAATTTAGCATGCTAGTGATTCATATTATGTGGGGAATCTTAGATGCCCTTAAATCACGTGTATATCACACAAATCATTGTTATTACCAATAAAGCATAGTAGGTTACTAATATAACGACCCAATATGTTGTCACATGGGTACAATAAACAACAATTTAATGAAAAAGTAAACATTAACTATCTTAAGATTCATGTAAACAGTCATTCAACATTCATGCAATATTATATATATATATAGAGGGAGCATATCAGGTGAGAGGATATTTTATTGTAAAAGATGAGAGAGTTATAATATAACATTTAGATTAATTTAAGAGATCAAATTAAATTAGATAATTAAATCTTTAATCACTCAATAATTATGTGTTCTCTGCTCCTTCCTCTGTTACACCCTTGTTTTTTCTTTTTTTCCATGGCCTCCTCCTTTTTATTCTCTCATCTCCTCCCTTCAAGTCAACATCGATCATTGGCACAAGCCTGCAATATATATTTTAACTCTCTCATCTCTCACAATATATTGGGTGTTTGTGCAGACTCAGCCTCTGAGTAGCCTTCATCTCATTATGATCCCCTCTGAACACTGGACTTGAGTAATCCTCCAACGACTAGAGCATAAGTATTTTGGGACGAGAATATTATATAAAAGAAAAGATAAGCAAATTGTTGAATATATTGGGGAAAAGATGATAGAATGTCTATTAAAATGGTATGGGCATTTGGGAAGAACACCAAATGAGGCCTTACTAAGGACAATCAGATGGAAGAAAGCTCAATAATTAGAGGTTGAATAAGACCAAGGAAAACTTTGAAAGCAATCATTACAAAGATTTTGATTATTGTTTCTGTTAATTTTTTTTTAATCATTGATTATGTTCTTTAAATGTTGAGTGTAGATGTGAAGATGATAGGATTGAATAGATTTTCATCTACAAGAAATTTCATTTTCCTAATTTACGTTTGTATATATTTATCATTCATCATTCATCATGTATTACATTTGCAGGTGATCTTACTTGTTCCTTTTTTAAGAAAGTGTAAATAAGTAACAAAAAAATAACACAATTTTCTGGCGGTTTAAAACCGCCATAAATGTGAGGCGATTTTAAACTGAACCTATAAAACAAGTAAAATTAAAATAATTTTGTTGTTATTTTAAACCGCTACAAAGTGATTGAATTTTCTGAGTTACACGCTGTAAATTATTTTTGACGACGCTGGA